CTTATATCTAAACTAAGCGCTGTGTGGATGGTGCAGGTCTAGTTTCGTGCGTGCTAACTTCAGCACAGTTGGAACCCGTCAGCCTAAAATGTGATCCAGGAACCAGGAAGATTCGCGCCGAGAGCTCATATAAAAATAATGTGAAATACAGCAAATGAATGAAACGCTGTTAGTCCTGCAACACGCTGGTGACCCGTCCAGGTGTGTCCCGCCTCTGGGAGAGGCTCCACAGCCCCACGACCCTGTATACTATGATTGGAAGAAAACTGATGAGTGGAAATGAAATAATATTTAGGAAACCCTTTTAGTTTGAAATATCTGTCATGAATGACATGTATGAATTTACTGATCGGTTTCAATAACTGCCTGTATTGATGACATGTTCCTGCAGGCGGAGATGAGAGCGGCGGTGTTCCTGGCAATGGAGGAGCAGGACAAACTGGAGGTGAGTGATTCACACAGAAGTTCCAATCACAGTGTTGATCAGTCAGTGCTGTCCGTCATAGTCCAAGATCAGGACAATGCCGGACAAAACCTCCCACTCACTCTGTGACATGCTGGCCAGTCACAACGAGAGCATGAGATTATACGTAATGCAGCACTGAACAATTCCTCCATCTAATGCACAGCACACACTAAAATATCTGCACATAACAAGGGCAATGTTAACCATATATATTTAATTTGTGTAGCTGGAATATTTATAATAAGAGCTATTTTGCTATATTTTAACTTTAGTTTAGTCAGTTCCAGGTTTAAGTGTCTTGGAGCGACTATTACTACATCATTAATAAAGTATTCAAATTCAGGAATACGTGAGACAGCAGGTTCATGGTGTATTTAGATTAAAATCTAAGTTTGTAGTCTGGAAAAGTGAACAATCAGGTGGGAGGAGTCAGGAAGTTGGGAGGGGTCAATGATGGTCTTGCTGTGTGACTGACAGCTTTGACCTGCTCTGAGCTCTCGCTGATGTTTCTCCTCAGAATAAAAGTCCGCTGGTCAACGAGAGCCTGAAAAAATGTCTCAACACCAAAGACGGTGAGTTCCTCAACTTCCTCTTCTTGCCTGCAGCCGGTTGCACTGAGCAGCAACATTTCACGAGCAGGTTAGCAGTGATGAAGGTCATACTGCTTCATGGCTGTTATTTTACAGTTTTACTAAAATTAGTCCAACAGAAAGACTCATCAGCGAGAGAGTTCATAAAGGTTTGAATAATTTCAAACATGCTCTAAAGAATCCCTCACTGACCCAGCAGCTTTCACTAAGAGTGAAACCACCCGTGAGCACCATGGCGGAGCATCCGCAGGTTCATCATGCGTTTCTTTCTTATCCTGATGTCATCGCTCATCAGACTGCAGTATTTGTTACAATGGCAACAAGTAATAATAATCATATTAATAATACATTTTATTTGAGGGCGCCTTTCCAAGGTCACCTTACAAAGAGAGGAAGACATCAATAAAACAGTAGATTAAAATAGATTATAATAAATTAAAATACAAAAAACACAAAATACAACCACAAACAACAAATTAAAGAAAAAAAACACGATTTGACAGCAAGTAAAATCTGTATTAAAGCGAGTAAGCTGGTTTAAACAAGTAGGTTTTGAGTTGTGACTTAAATAAGGAAAGGGAATCTATATTTCTTAAGGCTGAAGGAAGTGAGTTCCAGAGCCGAGGAGCAGAGCGACTGAAAGCTCTGTGTCCCATAGTGATAAGGCGAGCAGAAGGAACAACAAGATGAGTGGCAGATGAAGATCTGAGTGAGCGGGAAAGAGTGGGGATATGAAGCAGATCACAGAGATAAGGAGGGTAAGATAAGGAGGTTATGAATACACTTAAATGTGAGAACTAAGATTTTAAAGTTTATCCTGGCTTCTATGGGCAACCAGTGAAACTGTTGAAAAATTGGGGTAATATGGTCTCTTAAGGGAGTACAAGTTATGACCCGAGCTGCAGAATTCTAAAGAAGTTGAAGTTTATGGAGGGACTTATTAGGGAGACCAAATAAGAGAGAGTTGCAATAATTGATCCAGGAAGTAATAAGACTATGGACAAGGATGGCAGCAGTAGGACTGGGCAATATATTTTATTTTATTTGTTTTTGTCTTATGCTTTTATGATTCTGTAAACTTCTTGCTTTTATGTTGCTTTTATTCTACTGTGTACAGCGACCTTGAGTGTTTTGAAAGGCGCTTTCAAATCAAATGTATTATTATATATCGAGTTGTTTTTTTTTTTTGTTTTTTTTAAATATCGATATATTTTTATACGAGATATAAGATGTGACAGCATCGTTTATATCGATATGGTATATGCAATAGCGGTCCTAGCCTGTTTGGCGCGCCGGGCGAACACGCCCTCTGGCCCCCTTCCCCCGCCCACACACACACACACACACACACACACACTAAGGATTGTAAATGAACATAAAACTGTTGTCGGAACCAGACTGAATTTCACCAGAGAAACACACACACACACACATATGAAGAGAGAGAGTATGCATTACATGCAAACGGATACTAAACAGCCATCATAATTCGTCATACAATGAGA